GGTCAGTGGTTAGTCAGTCAGTCACTCACTTTCTCTCTCCTTTTTTAGTCATAATATGCCAAAGAAAGGATGCAATCAAGATAATATTAGTATTAGGGTACAGACCATATGATTCAAATTCCAAACACATGCAAGTGCCAAAAAGAGAAACAAAGAGATCTGAGATATATCAAGTAGTCTAACTGTCATTAGGACCAGTTGACTTGGTTAAACCAGAACTTCTTTCCATACTGGAGTCTTCACCTTCAGAGCTCATTGTATCATTAAGGTTGATGTCCTTTTGCAGGTCCTTGATCATTTAAAAAAAATTAGCTTCCTAGTTGAGCTTACTCTGATTACATCATCTAATTCCAGGCTTCCTTTAATTCATTAATCATTTCATCCTTGGTGGAGGTCTTTTCAGCAGGAGCAGATGTTAAAACAATGTCTAGGACATGTTTTCTTGAAAAGAGCTTAAAATGGAGGGTCGAGGCAGACTCCCTCTTGCACACAACATCATTTCCACTTAGGATTCCAGGATGCTGATTTAGGATAATTTCATAGAGGAGGGAAGGAAAATCAGTTGGCATCTTAATGGCACAAATTCCTACATGTTTGATAGACTGATCAAATATATAAGTCCCATAATCAAAAAAAATTGGTTTCCAATAGCATAAATGAACTTTCCTAAACCAATGGAGATGGTTGAAGTGTGATTAGTGGGAATCCAATTTGCAACAACAATCCTATGTAAAATTGCATATTTCACACTCAATTTTCTGACAAGAAGTTTTTTTTTCATTGGCCACTCACTCACTTGATTAGCATTGATGTCTCTACACACTTGATTTTCTGTTACTTCCAGCTCACAACATACATCTTCAGACCTATCTAGAAATTTATTTATAATGGAAGGATAAAATTCTACACACTTTACTCTAACAAAAACCTTTCTATACTCCTTACTCTTATGGTCAGCACAGTCAACAAGAATATTAACAATAAACTCCTTAAAAAGAGTTTCATAGCAATTTGCAAACCTGGTAACTGTTTTCATCAGTCCACCATAGGAGATCAGCTCCATGATTTCTTTACATTCCAAAGCACCAGCTCCTAGTTCTCTCTCCTGGGCAATCCTTCTTTGATACACATACTTCCACTTTTCAACATTCCCAACAGAATCAAAGGAGATGTTGTCAAGTGGGGCATCAGGAACCCTAACAGACAATTTCTTATTTGCAGACTTTTTGATAGGAGAGATGTCCTAGACATATTGCTCGACATCATACTCAGAGTCAGTCTTTCAATCAGAACAACTTTCTTCTTACTCTTGGATCTTTTTACAGCATCCTCATCATCATTAGAGCTAATAGGTCTATCTTTTCTCTTGCTAGAAGGAGGGACCACTTTACTTCCTGCTTTTGGGGGTCCATACATGGTTTTCTTTTTTATTATCTTGGGAGGGGGTGTGATACTTGCATCTTTCACTCTCCTAGACTTTAGTCTTCTAGCAATACCAGGTACAACATTAGTGATGAGCTCATTGTCAGACAGCTCTTCAACATTGACTACATTCACAGAATAGTTACATTCTCCATCCTTGGAGGCAATAACATCTTCTTTAGAAGGAGAGTTTTCTTCAACATTTTCCTCAACATATTGATCAACATTTTCTTCTTCCACATCTTTTAGGGAAGAGGTAGCAAGCATCTCAAGTTTTCTATCAATAACATCATTCTTGGATGATTCAGCATCATCATTTTTAGGATTACTTCCTTTGTCAGTAGGAGAAGGCATGGGAGCAAGGGGAGTAGAAATCCCAAGCACATCAAATCCTTCATTTAATACCCCGTCCACAAGCCTTCTAATGCTTCTATCAACATTAGCAATTTCTTCTTCAGTTCTATTGTCAGTAGCAGTAGAAAAGTTACCTTTGTCATCTTTAGATTTCTTAGCTGGTGATGATCTAGGTTTCTTGACCTTTTTATCAAGCGGAGGGATCGTTGATAGAGGAGTAACATCTAGAACTCTGTCAGGAGAAAGATTTTCATTTGCATATTTTGAGGAAGATGATGTGTGATGTTGAGATATGTTTGAGAATTTTTTAGCAAGGTGATGAAGAATGGCAAAGGGTCCCTTTTCTGAGGAGGAGAATGAATATTTTGTGAAAGTAGATAGGTGAAATTTTGTAGCGTGTGGGAAGCAAATTGAGGCTGTCTTGTAATGATTTATTTCTAACTTTTATTTGTTGGAAACACAAATAATACAATATCATTTTAATGATATTCTCACACACTTTTAATTGCTACAAACTCTCATATAAACATATCCCTAATTTTCTTCTTAAATTCTCAAATTGATTAGCATCCAAAGCTTTTGTGAAGATGTCATCCAGTTGCAATTCAGTGGCTACATGTTCTAAGGCAACAATCTTTTCTTTAACAAGCTCTCTTATAAAGTGATGAAGAATTTCAATATGCTTGGTCCTGCTGTGTTGAATGGGATTCTTTGATATGTTTATGGCACTTAAATTATCACAGAATAATGTCATGACATCTTGTTTGACATTGTATTCTGATAACATTTGTTTCATTCAAACCAATTGAGAACAACTGCTTCCTGCAGTAATGTACTCAGCCTCAGCAGTGGACAGAGACACACAATTTTGCTTCTTTTTGAACCAAGATATGAGATTATTTCCCAGAAAGAAGCATCCTCATGATGTATTCTTTTTATCATTAGCACTTCCTGCCCAATTAGCATCACAAAAATAGTTAAGGAAGAATTTGATCTATGAGAGTACAGGATACCATAATCACTTATCCCATTCACATATTTAAGAATCCTCTTCACATGGTTGGCATGGCTAACTTTGGGATCAGCTTGATATCTTGCACACACCCCTACAGCAAAGGCAATGTCTGGTCTGTTAGCTGTGAGATATACAAGATTGTTTATCATGCTTTTGTAGAGACTTTGATCTACACTTACTCCTTTTTCATCTTTAGTCAGCTTCAGATGTGTGGGAGTAGGGGTTCTTTTGTGATTGGCATTCTCCATCCCAAACTTCTTCATTATATTCTTGGCATACTTGCTTTGAGATAAAAATATGGATTCTTTCATTTGTTTAACTTGCAGACCAAGAAAATAGGTTAATTCACCAACAAGACTCATTTCAAATTCAGACTGCATTTGCTTGACAAAATGTTCCACCATCTCATTTGACATCCCTCCAAATACAAGATCATCAACATAGATTTGAGCAATCATAATCTTCCCTTCTTCTTCTTTGATATGTGATATCGAATGAGATGTCACGACACAAATATCTGTTTACAAGTAAGGTGCGGTAAAATCAAAAGCAGTAAAAACACAAGAGATTATTCACCCAGTTCAGTGTACAACAACACCTACTCTGGGGGCTACCAATCCAGGGACAAATTCACTAAATAGTAACAATTCATAGACCATCAGTAAACAACCAGTTTACGATCTAATCACTTAATAACTACTCAAGCTAAACTTTTACCTAAGGCTCACCTAGGTATGAGGCAATCCTCAAATCCCTTCAATCACTTACAGTGAAGAACTTAATAGAATTAATAAGTTTGATACACTTCAATCATTCAATGCTTAGAAGCTTATGAATGATACACAATTAACAATCCAAATAACAACTCAAGTATTTAAACCAATACTTAGAGTGTATTACAAATAAAAATCCTAGACTTCTAATCAGAAAGAAAGTATTCTTCTTCAAAAGTTGTGTGTCTTTGAATAAGGAAGCAAGTCCTTATATATGCGAAGCTTCGGGATTGGGCTTAAAAACAAATATTCAAATCTTTTGAATATTTCCATAAAAACAGGTCAATATAAAATTATGCAATTTGAAAAATATTCTTCCATATTTTCGCAGTCTGTAGATCACAAATCCTGAATTATGTCACGCATGAAAACAGAAAACAAAATACTTAACTGATTTTGGGCTGAGATCGGTTCAGTAGGCAGATGTCAAAACACCTGCTTTGACATTATTCAAAATAGATTTGCTTTAAATGTTAAGACATTTAACAAAACATTAACAAGTTACTGTTTTACCAAAATTGCTGCCAACAAACACTTACATACAAACCAATCAAACTGGTCACTAGACTTAGAACGTAAAAGAGACGCCCCTTTCCACTAAATAAAAGATGAGTGGGAACTAGAGAATCTACCCTCTAAAAGAGGAGGCAACAACCTGGTTTCCATATCTAAGTGAAAGAATTTGCCTCCAAAGATTAGTAGCACTTGCGATCAATCTCAACCTCAACTTATTTAAAAGATTAGATTAGCAAAGTGGAGATCACGAATGCCAATACCTCATTTTTCCTAATATTTATATACATCTGACCAATAGACCCAAGAGATCATCCACTTACCATCCACCCTCCCCACAGAAACCTCCTCTTAATTGAATATGAACAATGTAAGAAAATTCATATGTCTAGTATCTAAGATTTTAAGTTAATATTTAATGTTCAATCCACTATGCGGTAGTTTTTGGCTTAATATGATGATTTTATTGAGTTCTCCTCATTATATATTACAAATATCGGGTTGCACTCAGTTATTAATAAACCTCAAAGTTCAAACTAATTGAAAATTATTTGAGATTGAATCTTGACTAAAAAAATCATTTGTTAATTTTACTTATCTCATAATGAAATCTTGTAAAGCCCTATTCTACTTAATAAAATCTATCTATAACTTTTTTTGGTTACATGACCTATCTATAACTAACTAGGTAACTACTGTGAATAACTTTTATTCTCTTATGCAGTGTACCCTTCTTATGACATGACTTGACTTCTTACATATCTATTCATCTTTTTTATTTGTTTTTCTTTTTATCACACGTACACTCAAAAGTCAAAAAGTGAAAAGTTGTACTAATATATAAAGGGGTGTCCACAAAGGTTGGGTTAAGAGAGGAGCACACAAGAAAATCTGTCAGTAGAGTTTAGAGAGAGAGAGAGAGAATGGATTTGGGATGTGGTGGTAGTAGAGATGGTGATGGTGGACCTTGTGGTGCGTGCAAGTTTCTAAGAAGAAAGTGTGTGAAAGGTTGTTGCATATTTGCACCTTATTTTGAGTCATCAGGTCAAGGAAGTGCTCATTTTGCTGCTATTCACAAAGTGTTTGGTGCTAGCAATGCTTCTAAGCTACTCACACGCATTCCAGTTCATAAACGTCTTGATGCTGTTGTTACTCTCTGCTACGAGGCTCTTGCTAGGGCTACTGACCCTGTCTATGGTTGTGTTGCTCACATCTTTTCTCTTCAACAACAGGTATATATATAGCTAGGTGTATCATAATCTCTGTAATACCGATATCTCTGAACAAAAACGTGTTTTGCATCTGTCTTTGTTGTCCGGTGTGAAATAGTAACGGAGAACTGCAAAATTAAAAGCAAAAAGTTAAAGGGTGTAGAATGTGTACTTTTCTAAAACAGTGGGATGACAAGAATCACTGTTAACTGTGACAAATTGCACGTAAGCCAAAAACTATATTTTACATTACATAGTATGGAGTATGTTCTGTTTGCTTTGACACGTATGTCAGGTTTGGTTAGGTTTTATATGGAAAACATTCACTAACTCCGCATGCCCCTTATACAATTTACACGTCTTGTGATTTCAAACATTGAATGCGTGATTAAACATGTTGAACATTTCAACATTGTTTAAATGTTTCATACGATGTATATGAGTTTTTAAGGTAATTATTTATGTAAATATATTTATGTATTACATGAATTTATAGGTTGTGGAGTTGCAAGCTGAGTTAGCCTATGTTCAAGCTCGTCTTTCCATATTGAATCGCATCTCTGAAGATCCTCAGTTTCAACAGCCTCAAAGCTCTTCAATGTCTCCAACTTTGCATTCTTCCTTGGCTCATCATTTGTCATCAAATGATGAAACTTCTTATATGTCCATGTACTTTGATCAATATCATCCAACACCTTTTGAATTAAGCAACATTAACAATCCATCATACTATTCCTATCATCAAGAGCTCCATGACCAGGAGCTTCAAGATTTGCCTCGAGAATTTTAGCTTTGTGGCTGGAGTGAGATTCAAGCCTTCGAATTATCACTAGGATTTTATCTTATTCTACCTTTTTGTAAGTCAATATTTAAAATACTTTTGGTTTTAATGAATACCAAAATGTAATTTGGCTTTATTTTGCTAAAGCTTTATGTCATGGTATGCAATGATAGATTTAACATAGACATGCATGCTTACATAACAAAAGATAAATAATGAATTGGATGATCCAATGATAATCAACGAGGGAGAATGGTTAAGATTGATAGAAAATGAGATCTCAACCACTCATGTTCATCTAGGTTTTAAGATTTAGGTTTTTATCATGTCTTATTTGTATAATGAGGCAATGATTAAATAGTTAAGCAAAAGTAGACATAATAGACAAACTGACTCAACAAATCACAGTTCATAACAAGCCAGATATATTCAATGTATTCTATGTTGTTCTCTTCTCGAGAATAGGTTTTCTATGTTGTTCTCGATCACTGATTATATCGGAGGAAGCATGAGAGAGGTTGGTAGTTAGGTTGACAAAAAACTCATTTGAGACTTCAGGTGGAAGAAGTCTTTCTTTATGCCAATTTCTTTTTGATCATCTGAGTCTTTTTTTTGTTTTGGATAGAGATAAGTGGGTTTGAAAATTTATTAGGGATGATAATTTTTCAACGTCCTCTACTTATCACCATCCTTTGAATTTTTTAAATGTCTTGAACCTCTCCTCCTCTTCTTAATTTTCCTCTTTTCATCTTATTTGGAAAACTTGAGTTCCTTTAAAAGCTCATTTAGTAGTTGTGTTGTGCATGGATATTCAATGTAAGGTCGCAGATTCGAATCTACGACATCCCATTTGTTCATTTTTAAAGGGTGAACTCCAGTCACTAGACTACATGACCAAAAAAATGGTGATTGTTTTCTTTTGACAACATCTCCTGAAAAGAAGACTTCTTTCTAGAGAGAACTTATTTAAGATAAAAGTGATTGTTGACTCTATTCTTACCACTTGTTCTTTCTGTGGCGATTTTTCCGAGTCGGTTTTCCACTTGTTTGTTACTAGTGATTTAATTTATGACGTTTGATATATGATTTTTAGATGGTTTGGGTTATAGATAGTCCTTCCTAAGGATCTTACTCTTCTCTTTGAGAATTTTTTCTCTTTAAGGGGTAGAGTGAAATCTACGGGGATGGGAGTCTATGATTTGACATGGAGGATAGACCATTTAGAGGACCATAAATGAGATATTATTTTTGGGTACTTTGACAAACGTGAAGGAAATGAAAGATAAATGTATTTTTTATGCTTCGAAATGATTCTTGGAAAGATCTCTACATAATTCTTGCACCTTCACAAATTGACTTCAGAATTCTATCATTTGGAGTAATCGATAGCAGATTAAAATTTTGGCCTGGTTTAGAGTGGTCTTGATCCTTTCTTTTGCTTTAATGGCTTCAGATCTGACGGTGGTGATCATGTTGGCTTGAGATCTAGCATGCTCCTCCTCCTCCTTGACGTAGTCCTTAGAGTGTCGTGCTTGTTTCAAAGCTTCTTTGTGTAGATTGTTAGTCTTTGGCAATGATAGTTGTTCTTTTTTGTTTATTGTCTTATTTTTCGTAGTTGTTGATACTCTTTATGTCAATTATTTGATTAGTTGTATTTTGTTCGGATTCTTTTCCTTATTATTAATATTATTTTTTTAAAAAAAGTCTAAAATCGCTTCTACGCAAGTGTAACCAGACCTTCAGCATGTGTCAAATTTTTTAGAGTCTTATAATTTTATGTTACTATTTACATACATTCTTTTTATTATGTGTCCTTTGATTTGAGGATACAACCAAATTTTTGTTTCTCTTTATTTTTTGCATATTAAAGAAAGACATGCAATACTGCTTATATTTTTGTGCAACATTAAGAGTTTGTTTGGATAACTTAAAATTAACGGAACAAAGCGGAATAGAACGGAATAAAATGGAGTGGAATGAAACGGAACGGGACATAAAATCTATTCTATTGTTTGGATATTTTATGATGGAGCAGAACTAATATCCCATTTCACTGTTTGGAAATTGAACGGAACGGAAAGCATTATAATCTTTTTATTCCATTTTTGTCCTTTACTTCAAAAACTTTAATATGATGAAGTGAAAATTTGGAGGATAAATTTATAATTATGTTACTAATTTGTTCTACTCCCCTCGTCCCATATTATTTGTCGCAATAAACCATTTCACATGTATTAAGAAACAATAATAAATGAAAGAGAGAGAATAACGATTTTACCAAATTATCCTGATTAACTACTGGTGTGTTCAAATTAGTATTAATGTTAAGTGAGAAAACAATAAATTAAGAGTATTTATTAGAGGATACAATTGGAAAATTGAATATAAAATTGCATTGATAATATAAAGTGACAAGTATTTTGAGACAATTTTTTTTCTAAATGTGACACTTATTTTAGGACTGAGGGAATATTATATTGGATACACCCTAATTTGGGTGGAATAAAAAATGAACTAAAATAGTGGTATTGGATGGAATAAGTTTCATCACATTCCATTCCATTTCAATCATTTTTTGTAAAATCAAACAATGGAACATGACACCATTCCACTCCATTCCATCTATTTTCACTGCCACATCATCAACCGTTAGTGAGATTTAACGTCATGGACCAATTATGTGGATGGAAAATATTTTAGGGACCATTCTTTAAAGAAATTTTTTAGAGGGACTAAAAGTGAAAATCGTTATATTTATAGGGATCAATAACATATTTAACCCTAAAATAAATTAGTAACATAATTACAAATTTGTCCTTCAAATTTTCACTTCATTATATTAATGTTTTTGAAGTAAAGGACAAAAATGGAATAAAAAGATTATAATACTTTCTATTTCGTTTAATTTCCAAACAGTTGAATGGAATATTAGTTCCGTTCCATCGTAAAATATATAAACAATGGAATATAGTTTATGTTCCATTCCGCTCCATTTTAATATGTTCTATTCTGTTCCACTCTGTTAGTTTTAAGTTATCCAAACAGACCCTAAGAGCTTAGATAAACTGATCAGTCGAAAACCTGAAAAGGCGGCTTGGGTAAAAAAGGATATCCTGGTGGACCGAAAACCCGAAAGGACGGTCTAGGAAAAAGTTAGGGATTAAAGCGTACTACTATGTCCCATGGGATCACCCATCCACTTACAGCCAACATAACTATTGACGTCAAGTTCAAATGGTACAGATCAGTTTAATCAACTTCTTCTGACAACAATGGATGAGATGCTTGAAGACATAGGGGCAATAGAAGAGTTGAAACTCGACGGAATCATCTCCACGTAGCTGTTTTTCTATGTTTTTCTTTGTACCCCTTTTCTTTTTACAATGATTTCCTCTTACTAGGATCTCCGCCTCTTTGTATAAAATTGCTTATTTATAGGAAAACTTCCCGGATCAATGCAATTAAATTTCAAATTCAAAATTGTTTTTACTTTCTCTGTTTTGTTTTCAAAAACGTCCAATGGTTATATTGAATGAACATATGCATTTAAATATGATTATTGTTTACAAATATATGCATGAAAACATGGTTAACATTTACGAAAGACTCTAGGAGTCGGGATAAAGTTCAAAGTTGACCGTAAATTCCTACAAAGCAATTTCCTCAGAGCTATTTTCACAAGCTAATCCCCGTCAGAGATTATTTTCCTCAACACAGTCTACAAGGTTTATTTCCCCCAACGGAGTTTATTTCTCCAATATTGCAAATTCCCCGACAAGATTCTCTTCTCCAGCCAGATATCATCCAATGTTGTCCTCCCTGGAAGAGTTAATACTCATATCTGAAACCTGGTCAGACAACACGTCATAGGATTATCCATCTCTTTTATCCCCAGTTAGGAATCAAATCCTTCAAAGAACGACGAATGACCGACTCTCCTTGAATGCTTCTATGCCCAAGCAGAAGTCGAACATCCCCAGCGGAATGTCCTCAAACAGAAAGTAGAAATCCCCAGTAGATGAATTTTAAACAAAGCTAAAGAACTACTGTCTTCATCCCTAACAACAATCAAGGGTTTATTTCCCCAGTCAGACATTATTATACAAAGACTATTGATATGCTCCAATAACATGTTTCAGCCATACATCATTTACAAAATATCATAACATATGCACACGAAACACATATATTTTTATCATTTATTTTGAGAATATCATTATGCAATGCATTACATACATCATGACATTGCATAAAACTAACTTCATCTTTTCAGGTTAAGTTCGCAAACAGACAAATATTACCAGAAACTTATAGATGGGTTATGGATCAATTCTCGAAACAGGACAAAGCGACTATCTACATAAACAAAATCTCCTTCAGGGATTCGTTCTGAAAATAATTCTCCTTCAGGGCTTTGTTCTGAAAAGCATTCTCCTTATGAGGTTTATTCTAAAAAGCATATCCTTCAGGGCTTCGCTCTGAAAAGCATTCTCCTTCAGAAGTTTATTCTGAAAAGCATTTTCTTCAGAGGTTTATTCTGAAAAGCATCTCCTTCAGAAGTTTATTCTGAAAAGAATTCTCCTTCAGAGGTTTATTCTGAAAAGCCTCTACTTCAGAGCTTCGTTCTGAAAAGCATCTCCTTCATAAGTTTATTTGGAAAAGCATTCTCCTTCAGAGGTTTATTCTGAAAAGCATCTCCTTCAGGGCTTCATTCTGAAAAAGCATTCTCCTTCAGAGGTTTATTCTGAAAAGCATCTCCTTCAGGGCTTCGTTCTGAAAAGCATTCCCCTTTAGAGACTGAATTCTGAAAAGCATCTCCTTCAGGGCTTCGTTCTGAAAGGCATTCTCCTTCAGAGGTTTATTCTGAAAAGCATTCCCCCCAGAGACTGAATTTTGGCGAGCATTTCCTTCAAAAATTTATTCTGAAAAGCATTCCCCCTCAGAGACTGAATTCTGGTGAGCATTTCCTTCAGAGGTTTATTCAGAAAAGCATTCCCCTTCAGAGACTGAATTATGAAAAGCATCTCCTTCAGGGCCTTCATTCTGAAAAAC